TTGGGATGTTTGCCTTACTTTTCTTGTGCTCAATGTCCTGTAGTGGTGTTTTTTAACTTGCGGCACCGCTGTTCTTTCCAACCTGACAAAATGCAACAGTAAAAAATACAACCTGAACAGCGAATCCAGCCACATTCCGAGTGATAACATTGCACGTGGTCCAAACCAGAACAAGCACAGAGCACCGTGGTGTTCTCTTGATACGTAAGAAAAACTCAAGCAGACAGAGGGGGAGAAGAGAACAACATATGCAAAGTCTGAGCATAAGCTAGCTGCTAGTTGAAAAGTAGTTGCTGCTTGCGTGCTTGGGGGTAATACGGGTCCTTTCCTGCCAGCCAGCCTGATGTAATTTGTGTGTGGGCAGAAGTGTATCCCGGACCTGTTCGATAGCACTGGCCTGGTGTAGAAAAGAGTGTGTTCTGCTGGGCAAAATCAGTTTTGCACTCCACCTTTGCAAGAGCTACGGGTGCATGCCCACTTTCAGAATTAATCCTGAAGCTGGCTCCCTAGCTGTAGCTTACAGAGATTATTTCCTCTGAATAAAAATGTTTGGAGGCATCAAATACTTTAAAATGGGGAGGAAGAGTTAACCCCTCAGTAATTAAGGACGGAAGTGGAGGGGGGAAAGGCTAATTTAATATGCAGGGATTGGGAATATGACAAATAGCTGGTGAATTTGCACAAGGAATCTGGTGTAGAAGCATTTACAAAAAAGCAGGAGGAGAGAGCAAAGAAAGCTATGTGTTGGATAATTAGCTTGTCTGCTTTTTTACAAACTTTCTTTGAAAAGAGCAGAGTTTGTAAATTCCCAGTGTAGACCACTGGGATGATTCTTCTTGGCATCAGTGTCTGTAACTGAAGTACACGTGTTAAATTATAACCTGTTGGTGAAAAGGTGGCTCAAAGGGCAGTTTGTTGAAGAATTGTCATACTGATATTGAAAAAGAAACTTAAGAGCTGTAGCAGTAGTTAAGCAGATTTCCAAATCATGATATTTGAAGTATTTCAGGTTTTGCTAAAAGTAGCAGCACTTGGACTTTAACAAATGGGGGGCGGGTGGGCATGTTGGGGTTGTTTTTTTCTTTTTTTCATTGCTGCTTCTGGCTTAAGTTTTATACACTTGTTCTGTGTGTTTGTCAGTAGCAAATGCAAGCAGCTGGATAGAGAAAAGGGAACCCTTTTAGGTATAAGCTATGTTCACGCTGTAACAGGCATCAAACGATTTAAGTGGGGACATAACTGAATTTCCTATTCACCGGAGACAGTCCAATATGAGAAACACATTCATAAGAAGCTAGGATTTATAACTTCTTTTGCTAGAACCGCTCATTAATTGTTATTTGGCATGTGTGTGTTTGCCTTTTTCTTTTTTTTGTTGTTTTTTAGCAAGTATGTGCATTCCACTGTGACTCTCTTTTCAGCCTTTGTGGACAACGCCGCTATCTTTCTACTTTGTTCTGTTGTGTCTTGGTATTTTTGTGGATCCAATCTAAAAATCTCAAGGATAATCATAAGCAGAACTTCAGCACAGTCTGTATATATTCCTTCCATATGTGGAAAATCATGTTTGCATGGGTTCAGTCAACTCAGTAGCAATCCTGAAGAATTCTGTGGGATGGCTCATTGTTCTGAGGACTCCTTATTTGCTAGAGAGCATGTGAAACACCTTTGCTCTATATAAATAAGTCATTACATTACATTGCCATTAAAATGAATTCCATCGTTTAAAATACCTAATTGTGCTGTTTTCTCTAGAGATTTTGTATTTTTACTGACCAATTAATTTTGTTGTTTTAAATCATGATTTCTATTTCAGAAATTTTCTGTAATGATAACCACTTTTATATCTGTATTGAGTATAAAAGTTATAAAGATAAAGCTGTTATCCTTTTAGAAGGTAAAGAAAATCAGCTAATCTTTTGAGAGGCACTCTGCAAATTAAGCAATCTGTTACAACAATCTGTAGGTGAATCACCATTTATGGAAGTACTTTATGACATTGTTAATTCCGTGTTGCTTTATGTAATTTTCCTATGCAAGCAAGAAATTGGAGGGGAGTGGAATTACTCAGTCACATTATGGAGGTAAACATGACGTGACTTCTGGCAAGTTAGCACAGCACTTAGCATCTCTGAAAAGTTTCACTATTATGTTACTTGGCATCTACTCTGAGCTAAAGAGATATAAAACATCTAGGAAGAACAGAAGCTTATCAAATAGTTTCTAAGCGCACTTTAAGAGAAAGCCTTATCAATATCTTGTCAATGCCACACTTTAATAATATTGCTGTAAGCTGGGAGAAGTCATTGTGCCTCATTTCTTATATGCATGTATATATATGTATGCGTGCGTATATTTTTCCTAGTGGAATTTAAGTTATGTTAAGGTTCAGAAATACAAGCATCGTGAAGGGGAAGAAAGCAGAGCATAGGGGGACAAAGGTCAGTGGAATAGCTTTTTATGAAGCACCATCACTATGCTAGGACTCTTCTGCCTGGAAAGAAATGGCTCAGAGAGACTGTGGTACAAGTCAGAAGATGACAAATGGCATGGAGAAGGTGAATATGACATAATTGCTCACCCTCCCTTCCAGTACAGATGCTGAAGGGTATCAAATGAAACAAGGACATTTTGGATTTTAAACTATGAAAGGAAGGGCTTTTTCGTGCAGTGTGTAACTAACCTGCAGAAGGCCTTGCTGCAGGATGTCGTGGATGCCGGAGGCTTAAATTGGTTCACAGAAGACTTGGACGAATCTGTGGAAGCGTGGTCAGTTAAGGGATGTTAAATGCAAAGACTCAATCTCTGGTTCAGAAAGTCCCTGGAAGCCCTGTTTGCTGCAGTCCCTGAGAGTTCTGGAAAAATGTGGTTTAGTGCTTTCCTAGTGCTTACATTATTTCTTAGACATCTGCTTTCAACCCTGTTTGGAGGCAGGGTGAACCCTTTGATTTGACCTACTACAGCCAACTGCTACATGCTGCAGGAATTTAGCAGCATGATTTGCGACTCTTTCCCGGACTTGACGGTTAGCTTTTCTTGGTGGTATTCCCAACAGGTAAATACTGACCCAAGAACATTGTCGGATGCTCGTAAGATATTTTGTAGGCATTTTGTTAGGGTCACGCAGATTTTAAGTGAGATTTTAATTTAAGATACCATTACCATTTCCTCATATCTCATAGTAACATTCATACTCAAAAAGTAATTTCATATAGAGAACTGTGTGAAAAGAAAATTGGTTTTGATAGAAAGAGAAATGTTGCAGGGAAAAAGCCTTGACATAAATAGCTGAGGGGGCAAGGCAGCGTTCTGGTGGGGGAAGGGGTGGAAAATGTGGTCATTTCCATCTGCCTCCTTTCATTGTGGGATTGGCATCACTTAGGAAAGTAATTTTAACCTTATGGTTACTTTAATTTCCTGTTCTGTAAATTGGTAGCTGCTTAACTTCCCAGCTTAGTGAACAGTGATTTTAGTTGTACCTCAGGCATCTTCTGAAAGAGTAACTGGCTGTGGAAGTACCGAAGAATTCTCAGTAGTCTTGTGCACCTGAAAAAAAAAGGGGGGGGGGGGGGTGACAGGGGTTTAAAATCTATCTAATACTGAATACTTTCAGAACACAAGTATTTTGTACTTCCTTTTTATACCTCTGGGGAAGTCTCTCCAAGTGTAATAGATGACCTAGTCTGCTCTGCTAGATTCTACTGTTACTGTCGGACGTGAAAGGTGCACCACTCTCTTTCCATTTTGCATTTTTCTCAGTCAGAAAACCAGAAAATAACAAACCTTCCACTAACAGGGCTTACAAATAATTTCTGAAGTGGGCTGCGCTCTTCTGTTAACAGGCAAGATTTGCCTATATTCCAGTTTGAATGCTTGGTAGGTAATAATATGTTGACCAAAGTCTTCTGAAGATAGACTCGTTCAGTAAAACAAATGAGAAAAGATTATTATGGTCTTGAGTAAAACAAAAAATACTTCTGATGTGCATGCCTTCTGGACACGTGCAAATAACAAATCTACAAAAGAGAGTAAACTGTTAGATATGTATTTTTCTCACCTTGTTTCATTTTCTGAATCTTTTTTACTATAAAGTCAAAGTTGACTTGCCAAATGTATTTAAAGGATTTAGTCAGTGAAACTTACGGGCCTAAATCATTATGAAGTTTCCCAAAAAACAGCATATCGTGGAAATAATGGAGAGACACGACGGTTTTGTAGTAGCTATTTAAAGATACATGTAAGTGCAGAGTTAGATATATTTTTAAGGAGTATCCTTAAGGGTGGCAGCAATACATGCAAATTTGAGATTTTTAGCTGCACAGTCAGATGCATTGGTACAGATGATAGCATCCTGACGATACAGATAATCCTTTTCCAGTAATAGGAACTTGGCAACTTCAATATAAATAAAACTAATACATCAAAGTCACTACCAAATGCCTCAGTCTGCTGCTAAATTAGTTTGCATTTCATTTGTGAAGGTATGGCAGAAATTCTGTCCTTTGTAAAACTGTTATCCATTCAGACTTGAACTCTTTGAGCTTTGATATTTCATGTGGCTTTTATTTAGATTTTTGTTTCACGACCAACTAGTGTTCACTATTAGTTTCTGATAAGCAATAATAACAGCTTTGACAGAGTCAGCAGTAATGAAGTCCTTAAACTTAAGGCCAAGTAGCTTCCTTCTTAGTGAAGCAACATTCTTCCAAGTCTTCTAATCAGCCTTGAACAACATTATATTGTTTTAAAGTATTGTTATAAATTCATTAAAAAGAAATATTGCCTAAGCAAGATTTACATCACTGACTGTTCAGACTGTCTCTGTTGGTTCAGTCTACCTCAGTATTTTCTGTGCTAACTACTTTAAAAAATTCCTTAGACTGTTTAAAAAACAACTTTGCGTTTGAAGTTGATCATAGCTTCAACTTGAATGACTGTATGATAGTCCATGTATTGTTAAACGCATTTAAAATCCTGATTTTGTTTCGTGTTCCTTACAGGTGCATTCTGCTCCCTCTCTTGGGAATGAAGCCCCCTCAGCAGAGCCTCTTCCTGCTCGTAGATTCGGTTGACGAGGGCTGTAACGTTTCCGAGGGTGAACAGACTTCCACAAGTTTATCTGGAACGATAGCGGAGCTTTTAGCTGGCCACTTTGAATTCTTCCCTCCCTGGCTGCTGCTCCTGTGTTCTGCCCGCAAGCAGAGTAAAGCTGTTACAAAAATGTTTACAGGTGAGTACAGAGCACGGGACGTGTTTGTTACCTGCGTCTGTAACTAGGACGTAGTATTTACAAGACCCTTGGTGATGGCTGAAAGCACTGATGCATGCTTAGTTCTAAAAAATGACAATCATAAAAACGGTAATTCTAAAAAACACACATTCCAGTTTACTGAGGACTATAGAAAGCTTAAGTCAGCCAAGTATTTTAGACGTAAATTATGTCTTTGCAGTACATCTGCAAAGAATGTGGCTGCTTTGAGTTTTCCTCTTGCTTTGCTAGTTTTATAGAGCTTTGAAACAGTGTAGGTGATGTGTAGGTACATAAGTATGTCAGCTGCGTACACCCCTTCCTTACAACCTCAAAAGATATTTTTTTTCATCTCCCATTAAAATCTCTCCCCTTATTTTCAGAAAGCGGGGAATAATCTTTGAAGGTGGAACTTGAGAGGGGAGCAATGTAGATGTGGATTCTTGGAGTATACTTTTGGCAAAGGTTGCACAGTAAAAAAATTCTTTACAGTTTCTTCATCCAGGTTTTACTATGTCATGAGAACATTTCTTCAGTACAGTGACATTGTTACTGCAAGTTCTCTGAAATTTAATAAAGGGCAATATCTAGACTGGATTCCAAGCCTATATATAAAGCCTGTGTGTATTAAGGACACAATTAGGACAAAAATGTGATTATAGAACATCGAGCCATAGGCTTGCTCGTTTCCACAGTAGCAAAAGGTCAATGGGATAATTGCATTTTGGAATGGAGTACTGTATTAATCAGTGGCAGACATGAAGATTGGTATTTGGGAGTATGTGAGAACTAAAGGAAACTTCAGGGTAGCTTCACAGGGCTCCTTTGGACATTCATATGGGAATAGTTTTGTCAAAGCTTGGCTGATTAGATACGTTGTCATTGCCAAAAAAACAGACAAAACTTTCTTCAGAGCTGTTTTATTTCCTTTCCATTGAATCATATAATGTTTCAGACTAGTCCTAAAAAATGGCTGTTGTCTTCTAAGTATGTTTCCAGATGGAATTCCTGACAGGAAAAATCAGCAGAACTAATGGATATGCCTTTAAAATAAATTTAATTTGAATGAGTTAATTTCTCATTTCCACAGAGAATGACTTGATGAGTAGCATAAAGGAAGTTGGCTTGTGATATTATAAACCCATCTTCACTGTGTAAAAGGTACAGCAAAGAAGGAATGAATCCCAAAATAATTGGATACAAATTGGGAAGAAATTTTAGAGTCTATTTGGAGGAAGTGGTGTTGTATCCACTATGAAAGAAAATTGTGACATTACAGCCAATGTGACAGCTGCCCCCTTAACACACTGTAAGATGACTTTCCTGTTTACAACCAATATTCAAGTTTGTGCAAGGTGTAGTGAGGATGTGAGGAGCATGACTGAAGCTTCTGTTAACTTCAGATACATTGCAACTTTGTGTTGTAAAACTTGAGATAATGTTGATTTCTTTTCTGGTTCTAGCCTGAAAAGGATGGACTATCATTAACATGTCTACTGGGGCAAACTCTTCTCCTCCTTTGTGATATTTGAATGTTTACTTTTAGGCCAGCCAATTTATAAAGCTATTTAATTGGTCAGCAAGCAGAATTCAAGATCAACAATAAGTATTTTTTGCACTCGTGACTGAAGAAATAAATGGTGTATAATGTGCGCTGCACTCTGGGACACTATTGTACTGAACTTCTAATACTTCTAATTTCCCAGCAAATAAATGTTTGCAACCATAACAATAATATATTCACTGAACATTTTCTTCAAATATGTTTCTTTAATTTGGAACCAAAAAAAAAAAATTAGTTTCACTGTAACTTAGTAAAATAGATTGGAATCCTTTTAGGATTATTTTAGGAAAATGTGTCCCATCTGTAGTCTTTTTCCGCTAATTTAGAGTACGATATTAAATATATATTAACCAATATTAATTTGTTTACAATCAGTTTCTCTGAGTTTTCACTTAAAATTTTAATGCAGTGAAAACTTCTTTCAGATATCTGCTGAAATGAGAGCTAAACATATTTGTCAGAAAGTCTTATCAGTGACTGGGACTAGAATTGCTGCAGCGGCCTGGTCCTGATGATGCTCTTTTTTGGGTGTCCAGTACAGATGAGAGTTCTGCAGGCACCTTCCTAGCCAAAAATAGTGATGATGTGGAAGAAGGAGTCCAGTCTTTCTCATCTGCTGTCATCTTGCCATTGCCAGTGGTGAATACATCATCCCTACCACTCTCAGAATGAGAAAAGGAGGAGAGGTGTTTATTCTGGTCCTCATTTGTTCCTTCACTTTTGTAGGTTACTTACTTATGAAAGTTGAATAGTTGTGCCTGCATCTGCTGCAGCTTGTGTTCTGGGCCCTTCTGTATTCCCAGATTCTGTAGTAGCACAATGTGCTACAGATTTTTCCCCTTGCTCAGATTCTCAGCTTTCATTAATTTAAAAAAAAAAAAAAAAAGGGGTTTGCCTCTTGTGGCTGCAGAGACAACCTCAAAAATATGAACCAAATGTGAAATGATGCCTGCATGAGTCTGCGGTCACCCTCCACAGTGAGCAAAAGCCAGCCAATTGAGGAAAAAAAGGAGGGGAATAGATAATGCATGTTCTCCTGCCTTCTCCTGCATGTGCACTGTCACCTACTGCCACATCATTCCTGTTTGTTTCTCTTATGGACTTTTTCCCTAAACTTAACAATTCTTTGTCTGGCACCTATAACTATCCATACTATCTCCCACATCATCATTTGCTGTCATCTGGCTGCAAGTATGGACAGTCAAGCAGCTACATTAAACACAGTCTTTCCAATCTTTGCATTATAATGTTAGAAAAAGTTTCCTTGTATTTCTAAATAAATGAAAAAGCCCTCTAACCTGAAAGTGCCACAGAACATAGAATTTTAATTTTTGTTGTGCTTCAGCTAATTAGCGAATAAAAATGCTGCTTCTAAAATGAGGCTAAACCTTGAAAGCATAGCAGTTGTTCTTACAAAACTAAATTCCTTTCTTAAAGATCCATCATATTAGTTTAAAAACTTTAGGCATTTTAAAAACAGGCAATTTTATTTAGGTGAGTTTGAGTGAAAAGCAGATAACTTCTCACTAACAGCATAAAGGTAAATAGACAAAAGTGCATATGTACAAATGCTCTATTTATTGGTTTAAAGAGGCTTTTTTAAATAGACATTTACTTAATTGCTTCTTTTTTGCTACACACATAAATCAAATACCTGTGGCATCTAGCTTGATTATACCCCTCAATTAAACACTGACATTCTTCATCCAAAGAATTCCTTCCCATGCGTGAGGCATGAGTGCACCAGTGTGGTACAACCCATGCAGATGTCACATCTCGGGGAGCCATAGTTTCCATAAAGCTATTGTTAAATACTGGAAAGATACTGGAAGCTACAATAAAAAGAATCAAAAGTGGACATGAAAGGGTTCAGTTTAGTCTCAGAGGCAGCTTAAGCTCCATTCACCCACTTACCCATAGGCAAAAGCAGACAATCTGTCATTCGTTTTTCACTCTTCCTTTTATCTATCATTAAGTTCCAGACAGCCAAATATTATTAAGAGCTGATATTTATCCAAACTTTTTCTGGATTAGAAATCTTGGGAGCATAAGCCTTTATTGTATTTCTGCTATTTGCTGGTTCTGGTCTGAATAGATGTGGAGGGTTGTTTTTCTTGTAGCCTTGCCTAAAATTAAAAAATAAGCAAAAATGTGAAAGCTTTAGAGAAAGATGGTAAAAGTCACAAGCCAGCTTCTCTGCGCCCAGAAAACTCATACTGTTTGGTAATTGAAGCTACTCGGGTAGTCGTATTGCTTAATCCCCAAATCAAATCAGTTGCCTGATTTGGACCTGAACCTTTTCTCATTAGCTGCCATTCCAGAAAATAAATGGCATGAGACCACTTCAGGAGAGATTGCTTCAAAAAAGAAAATCTAAGTAGTCCTCTAATTTTTCATTGTAGGTTGGAATTTATTTCGGTAGTTTCCTGTTACTTTAAAGTCTTTATGGGAGTTGGATTTTTTACTATAAAAGATAATTTTTATATATTTTTGTAGTTGTAAAATTTACTTCTAAAATATTAAGGCTTTGAAAAAGTTTATTTGTTGTTTTGGTTTGGTTTTGGGAAGAGAAAATATTTAGAAGGCTTGGGAAATAAACTGGGAGCTTTTAATCAGTGTTTCCTTTGTTCTCATTACCACTTTCTTCTGATAACTACTTTGAAAACATGAATTTCAGGCAATTTCATATTTCCTAGTAAAAAGTGTGAATTTTGAACTTCTTTGCTTTGTAATTGAAGAGGGAAGACTAAATTGTTTTAAATGGTCTGTTACCTGTAAATCTAACTAAACAAACTTCTGTGCAATGACACGGACCAGTGAGAGCAGCAGATTTCAGCCTCAGTGTCTCAGCTTCTGGGGTAGATGCAGTGAAATTTGTTATGCATAGCGTACTGCAAATGCACTAAAAGCTAAGTGTCCAGCTTGAGTTTTCAGGTGCATTTTGCTCTGCTGGATACATTACTCTTTTTGAGCAGGTGTGTGTACACGGCCATAGAAATACCTAATTTAATATATGCTTAGATCAGCAGTGTAAATTATTAATGCCAAAAAATTGCCAAGTTTTTAATCATTTAGATTACTTTAAACTTAACAATTCAGTTAAATGAAATATATTAAAATGTATTTACAACTTTTGTAATTTACTTATGTAAATGTATTTAAAGATATGAAAGTAGAAGGATATTTTTAAATATTTACTGGAACATTCTAGTTAATAGCTTATTTTTTCTTATTAAAATTTGAAAAGTTTTGTACTGTAAAAGTATTTATATAGCCAAGATACTTTTTTTTCTTTTTTTTTTCTTCCCTTTGAATGACCCTAGATCTTGCCAAGAAGTACATTTGGAACTGATTTGTTTACAGAACTGCCAGGAATTTAATAAATCAGGAAAATCCATATTGGAGCTCCCATTGGGTTGAAAGTGATGCGTTGTAAGAAAAATTTTAACAATGCAAAAAGCAGGGTCGTGGGACTGCAAGTTCTGTCTACTGCACTCCTGTTTTGCTGAGCTTAAGTAGTTCATGGGAATGCATCTGAAACAAAATGAGCTTTCTCTTAATGTTTTGGTAGTTCTTGTCCATGAAAGTGACTTATTGTATCTGCTAGGGTTGAAAAGCAAGTTTGCAGGTTCTTTGTTTGGAAATGTAAAATGACCTCATTTAGATAGATGTTTGGGCAAAAAAACATGGCTTTGTTTTCTTCCTTCAAGCTAGCAACAAGAATTTGAGATTTTAAAAAAAAAAAAGAATTCTATCTAGAAAGCCTTTCTTGAGTTATTTGCTTATTATAGTATGGCATAGTGCAGTGGTTAAAATTAACAACCTATTTCTGTTCAAAAGTCTGTTACAATGGCAGTGTGTTAATCCCAGCCCTTTAAGAGCGTATCATCCCTGGCATGTGTGAAGATCTCTATGAGTGTAGCGTACTTCTTACTATACAAACTTGTCTTCAGATACGATAGATAGGATCTCATTAACAAGGGATATTTGGAAATACTGCAAAAGAAAAGAAACAATTTTTAACTTCTGTGAATGTACAGCCAATCAAATTGTTTAAATTACTGACTTCTGGAATATTCACTGCTCTGAAGTCTTCTGAAATTTATTTGCTTGGCTGAGGTGCTTAGACATTTGGTGTGTCTCAGGTAAGTACAGAGTTAGGGTGATATTTTTAACCCTGATACGGAACAAAGTAATGATACAGCCTCATTTAAAGGGAAAAAAAACCCAAACCCAAACACACAAACCCTTCCTTTTTTTACTTCTTGTGGAGGGCTTGGGGGTTTTTTATCACATCCAAAATGGCTTTGTTCACTTTCCCACCCATTTTGGGAAGCAAAATGAAAATTGGTATTCAAAGAACGTTGCAAGATAAGCAAGAGTCTTCTGCTTTTGAAGCATACATGCAGGGAGGGGACTGAGACGCTTAAACAGTTATCACACTGCAAGTTTTCGTGTGAAGGCTAGGAGTCAAGGGAGGTGAAGTGTAGTCATTAGTCAGGCAACACTGAACATTAGCTGAAATCTCAGGATTGCTGTCATGTGAGTCAATCAGGGGTTTTCTTATTGGGGGGAAATGAAATCAACTACTGTAAAAACTGAAAAAACACTTGAGTAATTTAAAAGTAACTTACACATGCAGATAGATATTGGAAGGAAGGATGTGGGCATGGGATTAATGTGAGAGATTGGGGATGTTGTAAGCAGAGTCATTTATGACTAAACACATTGAGAAGGAGTTTGCAGAGCTCTGTACCTCTTCTCATTCAGCCAGCTGCCCCATACAAATCTGTACTAGGAGAAGCAGAGAGGTTCAAAGAACCAGAAGGTGAGTGAGTGCTGTGGTTGCATTTGCTCTGAATTGAGCAAAACAGAGCTGTTCCCTGCACACATGAGACAACCAAAGGGATGCTCATGTCTAATTACAGCTCTGTGTATGCATACAACTGTGAATGTGTGCACCAAGCAATGCCCTGTTTTTAATGCCTCTGTTTTCACTTCTGTATCTTCTGAAGGATCGTAACCTAGAAACAGCCTTTCACTTGAAGTGGAAGCTTGAGAACTACAGAATCGCAGGACACTGTCTCTTCCTACTCAGCAAAGTTTCTTATTTGGCTTACGTGCAAGAATTAAGGGCTTTACAAAGTTACATGCAGACTATTTTAATCAAATAGATAGTGAATGGATGAATTATGCCATTCTGCAGGTCAGGTTAGGAGATTACTTGATGTTGTGACAAATTATGGTGGGTAAAGATGTTTCTGTGTGTCTTTTGAGAGCAAAAAATGAAAGCCTCTGTGGAATGGAGCAAGGTCCCCTCAAAATAATTATTTTCTGCCTCCTGGCCTTCTCATTCAAAAATTTTCCAGTAGACAACCTTATTAGTGTAGTCTTAGCCTGAGAAGCGACTGTGCAAAAGTGTCCTATCCAGTGATTTTATTTTGGGGAGAAGTATGACTTTGTTTTAGGTATTCTATTGATTTAGTTCCATTAGATTCATAATGCTACCATAATTAATTAAGGGAAGCAGAAATATTATAGTAACACTGCCATAGTTTGCCTCTCAGTTCTAATCTGTTGTGTTTGTACAATGCTCATGGAGACTAAACAATTAACAGAGTGAGCTTAATGTGACATTCAGAACCTTTGCTGAAGACACTCGGGAACAAAAAACAGCTCTGTTATCAGGCTGAATTCTCAGTCAGAACAAGCTCACAGGCTGAGCAGTTTGATCCACAGAATGTTTAAATACAATAAGAACATAGATCTGAAAGTGACATTCTTCAGAGCCTCACTTAAAATTATTTGTTCCGTGGAGATGGGGCCAAAATGACATTGAAGGCATTGCTCTATGGTTGCCTTTCCTTCAATGTAATTTGGAGGTTAGTAACTGCTTTAGTTTGAAAAGCAAATTTGGGGTTTTTTTATGACTAGCTGAGCTGACTGTAAGGCAATGTGTGCAATCTGCTGCACTGGAGGAAGAGATTACAGCCTGTCCCTGGAGAAGCGAGGTACAGTTCTGGCCTAAAACACAGTAGTTTAAGCTGTTGTGTCTGTGACCTCTGCGGTTTTCCCATAGCTTCTTGGAAAAGTAGTGTTCAAACAATGCAATGTGTCATTAATCAAAGAGGGTTGGTCTCAAATGCTTAACTTTGCACTACCTAAGCAAATGTTTTAAATGACAGAGATAGCCCTGTAGTCCATAGAACTATATCTTCATTCCGCCTCATTTTTGAGAGCCTTATGGCCACTGAGGTTGCCCTAGGGACTTCTCCGCACGTGCTGTGTGCTAAGAATAGCGTTCTTTGCTTGGGGGTGATGTTGGTGTATGTGTATGTGTGTAGGGAGGAGATGTACACAGATGCACGTATGAAATAATTTCCCTTTTTCCTCTAAAGAGTAAACAGGTTGGAAAAACAATGAGATCATGTGCCTATGAGAAAACCTGTTTCCTTATATAATGAGTCACCTACCAAAGAACCAGAGTATTTATCTAAAACTCAGTCCTTACTTGAAAAAAGTAGGTAATTTTCAGTGCACAGAGGTGTAAAGATATTTAAAACTGTTTTTGAGTGTCTCTCTCTCCTATCTCTTAAAAGCTTTTAAAAGAAACTAAGGTGATCATGTTAGTGATTTATGTACATTTCATCATGCATATGCACCAGGTGTGAATAACCTCTTCTATAATTATATTAATATAATAGTTGTCTTAATCTAAATAGCTGAAAATTATTTGGAATTCCATTGTTAACCACATTGGAGAAGGGGTTATTCCTTTAATAATATAATAATACTTAATAATCTTATTTTGGTTGCAGTTCTGGTGGGTTTTGCTTAGGTGTTTAGTATTGTCCAAGGTAGACACACAATGCCTGATTCAAAGAGATTTTTAAAATTTTCTTCATTAGTAGCATGTATTTCTTCTTACAGTAGATGATGATAAAAATGCATCTATTATCAAAGTTGTCTCTGCTATTATTATTAATTTACATTCACTGTGTGTACACACAAAATGTATTATTGTGGGCGTTCCCTACACAGAAATGTCTGTCTTGGATATTATTTTTTTTAACATTCAGTTAAGCGAAACTAGATCAGAAAGAATAATAACTTTCTTTCCTTTTAATAGGTTTTCGAAAAATAAGTCTGGATGATCTGCGAAAGGCTTATATTGTGAAAGATGTGCAACAATATATTCTGCATCGTTTAGATCAGGAAGAAGCACTGAGACAACATCTCACAAAAGAAACTGCAGAAATGCTGAATCAGCTTCACATCAAAAGCAGCGGTTGCTTTTTGTATCTGGAACGTGTCCTAGATGGAGTTGTGGAGAATTTTATTATGTTACGAGAGATCCGTGATATTCCAGGAACATTAAATGGCCTGTACCTTTGGCTCTGTCAGAGACTTTTTGTGAGAAAACAATTTGCAAAAGTCCAGCCTATTCTTAATGTAATTCTTGCAGCCTGTAGGCCGTTAACCACAACGGAATTGTATCACGCAGTGTGGACCAAAAATATGACATTGACGATGGAAGACTTTCAACGCAAATTGGATGTCCTGTCAAAAGTCCTTATTGATGGACTTGGAAATACGAAAATCTTGTTTCACTACAGTTTTGCAGAGTGGTTGCTAGATGTAAAGCACTGTACGCAGAAATACTTGTGCAATGCAGCAGAGGGACACAGAATGCTGGCAATGAGTTACACTTGCCGAGCAAAGGATTTAACACCATTAGAAGCTCAAGAGTTTGCATTGCATCTAATTAATTCAAATTTACAGTTAGAAACGTCAGAGCTGGCTTTATGGATGATATGGAATGGCACACCTGTCAAAGACTCCCTGTCGACCTTAATTCCTAAGGAACAAGAAGTATTACAGCTGCTGGTAAAAGCTGGTGCTCACGTCAACAGTGAAGATGACCGCACGTCTTGCATTGTTCGCCAGGCTCTGGAGAGAGAAGATTCCATTCGCACCTTGTTAGACAACGGAGCATCAGTAAACCAGTGCGATTCCAACGGGAGAACGCTCTTGGCCAACGCAGCGTACAGCGGCAATCTCGATGTCGTTAACTTACTGGTTTCAAGGGGAGCAGATTTAGAGATAGAAGATACTCACGGGCAAACAGCACTTACCTTAGCTGCTCGGCAGGGCCATACCAAGGTTGTCAATTGCTTGATTGGATGTGGGGCTAACGTTAATCACACCGATCATGATGGCTGGACGGCATTGCGATCTGCAGCGTGGGGTGGGCACACAGAGGTGGTTTCTGCACTCCTTTACGCTGGAGTCAAAGTGGACTGTGCCGATGCTGATAGTCGAACGGCACTGAGGGCAGCAGCTTGGGGAGGACATGAAGATATTGTGCTGAATCTGCTTCAACATGGTGCTGAAGTTAATAAAGCCGATAATGAAGGCAGAACAGCTTTGATTGCAGCCGCGTATATGGGGCATAAAGAGATCGTGGAGCACCTGCTGGATCATGGTGCGGAGGTAAACCATGAGGATGTGGATGGAAGGACTGCGCTGTCTGTCGCTGCGCTTTGCGTACCAGCCAGTAAGGGACATGCCTCAGTGGTTAGTCTTCTGATTGACCGTGGGGCTGAAGTTGACCACTGTGATAAAGATGGCATGACTCCACTGCTGGTAGCTGCTTATGAAGGACATGTAGATGTTGTCGATCTACTTCTAGAAGGAGGAGCTGATGTCGATCACACAGACAACAATGGTCGCACGCCACTTCTGGCAGCAGCCTCCATGGGCCACGCTTCAGTTGTAAATACTCTCTTATTTTGGGGTGCAGCTGTTGATAGCATCGATAGTGAAGGGAGAACAGTTCTGAGCATAGCCTCTGCACAAGGCAATGTTGAAGTAGTACGGACTCTGCTGGACAGGGGGCTAGATGAAAATCATAGAGATGACGCGGGCTGGACACCTTTGCATATGGCAGCTTTTGAAGGTCACAGGTTGATATGTGAAGCTCTTATAGAACAAGGTGCTAGAACAAATGAAATTGATAACGATGGACGTATACCTTTCATATTAGCTGCACAAGAAGGTCACTATGATTGTGTGCAGATATTACTGGAAAATAAATCCAACATTGATCAGAGAGGCTATGATGGGAGAAATGCCCTTCGGGTTGCTGCTTTAGAAGGTCACAGAGATATAGTTGAACTACTGCTCAGTCACGGAGCAGATGTAAACTACAAAGATGCTGATGGCCGGCCAACACTTTATATCTTAGCATTAGAAAACCAGCTTACGATGGCTGAGTACTTTTTAGAAAATGGTGCAAACGTAGAAGCAAGTGATGCTGAAGGAAGAACAGCTCTCCATGTTTCCTGCTGGCAGGGCCATTTGGAGATGGTTCAGGTGCTGATAACATACCATGCTGATGTGAATGCTGCAGATAACGAGAAGAGATCTGCTTTGCAGTCTGCTGCATGGCAAGGTCACGTGAAGGTAGTGCAGCTTCTCATTGAGCACGGAGCTCTGGTTGACCATACATGTAATCAAGGTGCTACTGGACTCTGCATTGCAGCCCAAGAAGGGCACATTGATGTTGTCCAGATATTACTGGAGCATGGTGCTGATCCAAATCATGCCGACCAGTTCGGGCGCACTGCTATGCGTGTTGCAGCTAAAAATGGACACTCTCAGATTATTAAATTACTGGAAAAATATGGTGCATCTACTCTGAACGGTTGCACTCCATCTCCAGTCCACACAATGGAGCAAAAACCCTTACAGTCAGTCTCCTCTAAAATGCAGTCACTAACAATGAAGTCAAATAGTTCAGGCAGTACTGGTGGAGATATGCAGCCTAGTATGCGTGGCTTATCTAATGGGCCTGCTCATGCCTTCAGTTCTCCTTCAGAGTCGCCTGATTCTACAGTTGACCGTCAGAAGTCATCTTTATCAAATAATTCCCTGAAAAGTTCCAAAAATTCTTCTCTGCGCACCACATCGTCAACTGCGACTGCTCAGACGGTGCCCATTGATAGTTTCCACAGCCTGTCATTCACAGAGCAAATACAGCAGCATTCCCTGCCACGCAGCAGGAGTAGGCAGTCTATTGTTTCTCCTTCTTCCACAACTCATTCCCTAAGTCAAAATCATAATTCACCAAGTAGTGAATTTGAATGGAGCCAAGTAAAACCTAGTTTGAAATCCACTAAAGCTAACAAAGGGGGGAAAACGGACAACTCCAGCAAATCTGGGTCAGCTGGAAAAAAAATAAAGCAAAGTAGTTCCTCCCAATCCAAAGTGTTAGAGTATGAAATGACTCAGTTTGACAAACGAGTACCTATTGCCAAATCTGGGACCAGTGTGCCACTTAAATCAATGCCGGCAGAGCCGCAGTGCAAAATTTTGGTCCCGCCAGCTCAGCAAGAAGTTGGTCGATCGCAGCAACAGTTCCTAATTCACCAACAGAGTGGAGAACAGAAGAAGAGAAATGGAATTATGACGAATCCAAATTACCACCTTCAGAGCAATCAGGTTTTTCTCGGTAGGGTTTCTGTCCCACGAACAGTGCAGGACAGAGGCCATCAGGAAGTACTGGAAGGCTATCCTCCCGCAGAGACAGAACTCAGCCTTAAGCAAGCCTTAAAACTTCAGATTGAAGGTAGCGACCCAAGTTTCAACTACAAGAAGGAAACACCATTGTAAAAGGTAACCTGTCCAGTCACAAAGGAGGCGAATGCGTGTATTTCATCATGTGCATTTTAAATATGCTAAAATTGCATTTCACTGGTGTTTATCATCATAATTGCTTCCTTAATGAAAAACATGGATGTTAAAATCTTAACCTGCCAAGTATTTGTTTTGCTGTGGTTTAAAAGCATCAACCGTAGAGGAATTGGGTCACCGTCGTATTTTCTGTTGAATTCTGATTGCTCAAATCGTACCCCACTGTCCTTGATATGTGACTGAATAAAACAGCAGGTTTCGTGTAGCATTGAATTCGGATTTTCTTTTTCAAACATAAGGACAGCTGGGAATTTTAATACGTGATACTGTCAGATACAGTAATTATTTCATTATTTACAAAAGTGCTTTTCAGGAAGCTTCTGAAGATTCTTGTAAGTTACATTACTTTTGTGAATTTGGATTTTAAATGTGAAATCTCTAGCATAATTATCTACAAATTAAAAAGTTAAAATGCTACACTAAAGCTTTGATTTTATTTCTGTTACTGTGAAGGTTACAGTACTGTAAAAGAGATGGCATTCCTCAGAGCAAGATTAGAATCTATGTTATGGCACCAATTTTCTGACCATTCTGTAGTTCTTAATCAGTGGAGTTCATTTAGATTTCTCACTTTCTCTCCCATGCTGAATTTTAACCTGAAAAAGGAATTTTACATAGCTTTTTCAGACCTGAATTGTCAGTGAGTCAGCTAAAACAGAAGCCTTTTTCTCCCTCTTCCTGAGGAGGTTTGTCTTTTTTAGGGTATTGAGAATGTGTTAATATATTTTCCTATTTGAATTTCAAAGCAGCAGCATCTTTATGAAATGTAGGCACATCTCTTATTGCTTATTTGCTTATTTTTGAAAACACATTTTTTGTTTGTGTGAATGCTGTATTTTTGACAGATCAGACTGCTGCTCCTTAGAACACAAATGTTCTTGCTAGCTGACTCAGTTCTGCTGCAAGTCATCAAAACCTGCAGATTTCTAGGACAATTGCAGACGGTGCAGAATCCACAAATGGGACGTTTTCGGCTGTCAAAAACACATAGACAGGGCTTTTCCCTGCAAATGGATTTCACTTTAATGGAGTGCATCTCTCTAGATATCGCTGAGGTCTCTTGTGAATTGCAGAGTATTCAAATATTGTGCAAGACTCTTTAAGATGTTTCCTTGGGGTTGGCATTTTGGTTAAATTAAAATATTTGAAACAATACCGTGTTTCAAAAAGCTATATGCTAGAGCCTGAACATTTTTAAAATGCAAATATTAGCAAAGGGTCAGATGAGGTGTGGGGCAGGCGAAAGTGGAGAGGCAGGACAACAGGAGCAGGCATAGAGAGGAATAAGCAGGTGAGAGAGAACGGGCCCGAAATGTTCATAAAAGTCAAAAGGACTTTAGATTCCCACAGTTCTACATCGTGTCCAAACACGATTTAAATTTGTTTTTAATTTTTTTCCTGCCTCCATAAAACATATTAAAATGTATAATTAGGAATTGTATTTCCTAACTCTTACGTACCTGCGCCTGATGTTCATTGCTTGCTTTCGTGTTACACTTTATTGTAAATAAATTGTATAGTTCTGACCTAGGATGTCTTGATTTGACCTAACCTGTCATCAAAAGACTAGTTTTGATGAATTTTCCATCTTTGTTGATTTTAAAGTATAAACAAAGCATGTGAAAAAAATTTGAACATTCCACAGGTAATACTAAAACTCAAATTGGGCTTTGCTTTATCTGGAACAAATAGTGGGTTTTTTTGAAAATTCAGGGGTTTTCTCTGTGAAGTACTTGGTTATGCAAGTGGCTAAGCCTATGAGGTGATGGATAACCTAATGGTTCCTTTTTCTCCAACGGTTTTTCATAGCTTTATTTTAAATATGGAAGTTTAAAGCAATTTTGTGTGGATTATGAATTGCTTGGTGCAGGCTATAATTTACCTCCTCTTTTGCCAAGTCTCGAGCACAAAAACAGTAATTTCCCTGACCAGTGAATAAATTAGTCACCTGTGGAGAATCACATCAGAAATACTCTACCGGAGCACCTGAGGAATTGCTTTCCTTCCCTGGCTGCAGCTTCTGAGCTCCATTCGGGAAGGTCTCCTGCTGTGGGGACCTTGTAGCTGTTTTGGATGGTAGAGAGCCCAGGGAATCAATCGCGGGATTTGAGTTAGGCAGAAAATACTTTTCATCGCCAGTATGTTGTTGTGTGCTTTTAGCTTTAATTAGAAATGATACAGCTCTCTTTCTGATAACACTGTTCGTATTACAGAGTATTTCAAAACTTAATGTTTTTATTTTGTACTTTTAGGCCAATTCCATGATGCTATGAACAGAAGCGCTTCTGCTCCGAATGATTTATCAGCTGGCTGGGATGAAAGCATACAATGCTTGTTTAGTCCACCTAGAAATTCAAGAATGTGATTACTACAGTACAGTTACCTTAATTACTGTAATGTGCCTACATTTTCAGGCTGCCTTCTCAGTATAACCCTCTGTGCTTCAAAAATTTATTTTGTGTACTTTGTATTTAATACACAGAATGAGCACTTTTTTTAATTGCAGAAAGATATATGCTGTATTTCCCTGATAACAGCTGAAAATGGAAAGAACAAGGAATTCTGATTTCCTATTCCAGAATGCTTGGTAGAGGTGCATGTGCCACAGTGAACTGTGTATGGAAAGGCAGTGCTTTTTGTATTTATTTTCCTGTGGCTAAAGAAAATAAGCAAACAAGTTTGTCACATTTGCATTGTTGTAATGTATGGTCAGTTCCCTGTGTACTTCAAAAAGTTCTCTCCAGAAATACAAGTCTTGTAACAGTATTTTATAAATACTGTACTTGTGTGTTCTGTCTGTGTAATAGCTGTTCAGTGGTAGCAAAGGCGTCGGGCTGCAACCATCTGCAGTATCTTTGGGATTTTTTAAGAGGCAAAATCCACTGTCTGGTACTTCAGCACCAAATCTGGATGGCAGACTGTGACCACTGAAAGCAATAGGCAAATTTGCTCTTGGACACTTGATCTTACATAGCCTCTGTTATTGTTATGGTAATGAGGTAACTGAATATGGGTATGTTTTAGGTGCTAAAGTAAAAGGTCTGATCCTGCTTTCATGTATAACTTTATACGTTAGAAACAGCTCTTTCTTTTTTCCAAGGTAAAGGACCGTATTGAGAATGTCTAATGGAAAATACAGACACTATGTTAATGAGGCTGAGAGAATATGCAGTGAGAGTACAGTGGAAGAGCAAACGGTTAGAAATACCGTTGTCTGTAGAGTACAGAGATGACTGAGTTAGCCCTGTCCTGAGACAATAACTCTTTAAAGCACAAAATTGTATGAATGTGGTTACTGCTTCTGATGGATTAGGTAGAGCCAGCGTGAGTATCTCTGTACCTGGAGTGTGGTTAATCGGCAGTCTGGATAGTCCATTTACGGATAATGGAAAGCTGGTTCCCCATTCTTGCAGCAGAAGAATTTTGCTTAGATGAACGAGAGCAAAATCAAGGCCATTGTTGTGAAAGTGAACAGTATGAATTTTTCCTTTGAATGTGCACATCTTACTTGCACAGCTCTGTGAGTGATAAAATGAAACAAGTGGGTTATTTTCTCCTACAAATGCAAGCTATATTCTGCTATTCACCGTTACACAGCCTTGCTCTTTAGAAAATAAGCCTATTTTTGTATGTGAGTATTTCTTCTAAAGGCTTGGTTTTCATCTTTTTCATACTCAAATTCTGATCATTCCACAAATAAGGTGATAGAAAGCTGAGGTTATTTTTCATAGAGGATTAATTAGATGTATGGCTATCCTTAAGCTTTGCTAAATGGCCCCTGGATGTGTATGTAGTGCATATTCTGAGGCACTAAAGGGCTCCGTGTCTTGTTGTTATGATTAACAATCATCAGACCTTTTTTTTTAATATCTTGCACCTCCATTCTTATTTGCTTGTTACTAAATATAAAAAGAATGTTTTATAGTCAGGCATTCAGCATATAGTAAAATTAGATGTTAAAAGTTGACACATGGCAATATTGATTATTCTGAATGTTTCATGTATTGAATTTCTTGTCCCCGTGGGACAATTATAAAATAAACATAACAGGAGTCTGGCAGAATGGCCTTAAGAGGGTTAGTGGCTCAGTAAAGAGAAAGTACCAAAATGTTCTCAGCAAACTTGTTCCAAACCTCAAGTATAGTACATTTACAATACTGTGCAAGAATACAACTTTTCTTAGTTATTAGATGTATGTTTTGTTCTGTAGAAAGGGATCCCTGAATGCCGACTTTTTTCTACTGACCTTGACTATCATTGGGGTTATATTTATTTAATTTTATTGTGTTGTAATTAATTGCACCTTGTGGACAGAGGACGTAAAAGTATGGCCAGTTTCACAAGGGGCCACAACTTATAGATAGCCTGATGGTTTTTGTGTGAAGAATATTTACATTTGAAACAGTTGCTGGGGAAACCTTATATCCAAATCAGCAGAAAGTAGACCTGTTGAAAATGTTTTCAGAATGACAATTCTTACAGATTTTGAATATCACTTTGGGACAGAGCATGAATTGCTTTAAAACATCTACTTTCTAAGAAGGTCTGTGTAATTCCACATTGCTGTTGCGTGTGATTTTTTAATGTCATCGTTTGTGAGGGTTTTGCATACAAAGAAAAGTTGCTGTTCCCCCTGTTGTTGGCTCTGTTCTGCTCTGCTTTTTCACATCTGTACAATCAAGTGGAGGTGAATGGAGTTGCATAGCTGTGACTCAGCACGGTTCTTCTGGCAGTGTAACAGTTCTCATAACCTAAAAAAACCTGAATAAAACATGAATCCTCTTTCTCTTCATCCCATTTCACTGGTCCTTCCAAGGTTATCTCCACAAGACGTCTAAAATTCTTGATGGGAGAGCTAGGGAAAAAGACTGTTTCGCGGACACGGATATCAATACTGTATGCATGTGTAAAAACCCTTCAGAAGAGAAATGCATTAAGAGATACAGAGGCACAATTGATGCATTTTTATCTTCTCTGTGATCAGTGTTGAAAACATTACCATTTATTTAAAAATAAAAAGGTGTTTTCCCTCATCAGTTACTCTGCTATGCAAATGCCTGTTATGCTTAATACTCCCCATCTGAACTCCTCAGTTAACTTGGTTTGCAGATAGACTGTTTCTCCTGGAGTGGGTTGTAAATAGCCTTTAATGTACATTGAATGAATTTCACATTGTAAAATTTTTATTTTATTCCTTGTATTATATTAAGCGAAAATCCCTGTGTATATGAAAGTGCATAATAAATATATTTGCTTTTCAGCAGACATCTAACTGTTTTAATTTTACTACCTCGTTTCCTGGGACATCCCAGGAAAAGGTTATTAAACTTGATTAACTTTTGTGTAGTACTTAATGAAACACCATGTATGTGTCCAGTAAGGAGTCTAGGCTAGCAAAAGTCAGACCCCAATGTTAATGCCTGTCACCCTGCTTAGCACTCAGATGGCCTTTTTCAGATTAATCTGAGTCAACCTTAGCATTTGCAGGAGAAAACTCGCTGCATGTTGTTTTGTTTAAAATGACCATTATATACCATATATATCAGGAGGGCCAATGAATTCAGTATTTCAGTTGCTGTAAGTTCTTTATCACTTCAGATGGTATTTGTCAGTTATCTCTTTGGTCAGTGTTTCTCTGTAGTATTTTCAGTTTAAGCAAAAGCTCGCTTACTGATGGTGGCTACTCATTTTTCTTGAGCTTGTTATTAAAAAAAGTGGGAGAGACACGTTTTCCAGTCATTGCAATAGTCCCATTTGCCCCTGTGATCTTGTCTCACTTCTGCTTTAGATTATATACCCATCGTGATTTCTCTGCAGAGAGTTGTTGAGCGTGAAGGAAGAGTGTGGCTGTGCTTTCTGCAAATGATGGTTCAGGTTTACCTCCAGGTATTCTGGTTCACATTGCTTCCAGCTGTTGGTGTTCATGGGTCGACTGATTTCTAAGGTTAGGAGAATGACAGGCAAAATTGTCGGTAACTGTTGACTCGTTCTCTGTGTATTTCTGTGGTTTCTCACAGTAATTATTGACCCTCTTTTGTTAAGTTCTTTATGTCTGAAATAACAAAGTATGAGATGCATTAGTTCAGTGGCTATTTTTCCTTGAAGCAAAGAATCATTCTCACTGAATTAATCTTTGAGTAAGTTATATTACGTTCCAGAGACACCCGTTTTCTTCAGATAATCACTGTAACAATATTTAAATAAAATTATTCAACACCTGTTTTTAATCTCTTATTCTATGGAATATAAACAATCACTTTGAATAATGCTTCACATCTTCATGAGATCTTTACAACAATTTGGCATGTGTATTACATGTATTTTCCAAAAGAAAACTGGGACTAGTTGGCACAGTGAACTAAAGCTTTTCAGCTGGAGGCCCTTTGAGAGACTGCAGTGAGAATTTGGCATTGATCTAAATCCTAATCATTTTATGCTACAAAGAGTCACAGAAATAGGGAATGGGACTGAGAAATCTACTTGGCAAATCATTTTATTAAAGAAGTCTCCAAATTTATATGTAGGTAATATAAACAAATTGACCTTTAGAATGAAAATCTAATTTGCTGGTGTCCCAGAAAGACCTACTGTTCTCACTTCTATTCTTTTAAGTTTGTATTAGACCAGCCAAGTCCCAGAACTACAATTACAGGTAGATTTTAAGCTAGAGAAAAATAATTTCTAATGGACTCCTGTGATAAAATCTTGCCTCTTCAGCAATCTAGTTTGCTTCCTGTAACCATTTCTGATGGATTAAGAACACGGTAAAGGATTTTGTGGTTTGGAACCTTTTTTCATCTCTGTGCCTCATTAGTTCATCTTGGACTCCCCAGTCTGTTCCGTAGTTGCCTTTTGGGGCTTGCTCCAGTGTTTGCGTAGGGGACTGCCAGAGCTACAGGAGTTTTCAGCCATTGCTCTTCTGTCTCCTTGAAAAACCGGGAGATGGGGAGGATGATGCAGGGAACAGCCACGCCAGATGGAGCTAATCAGAAAAATAATGGCCACTTCTTCAAATCTGGAAGGTTTCAAGGAGTTATCTCTGGTTTAAGGGTTTCTTTCAGTTGAAGCCCTAATTCAGGTTTTCTGTCTGAATCACTGACAGCCCACTGGCAGAAGGGCGTTGGATCTTTAGCCAGAGGGCAGACCACCCAGTGCCACTGGGTGTATCGGGTGGATGTGCATTTCAAGTAAGAGTTGATCTTTGCTGAAGGACTGTATTTATTCAGAACACAGTCTGCTGTTTCAGGGGGAGGAGTAAATTCTTCGTGAGAAACTTTTTGAAGAAAATGGTTTTACAAAGAACCAGTATGCAACTGGGCTGACTAGCCTGTTTGGGGGGACTAAAATCTTTAGCTTCCAAGTCTACAACTGTGTTCAGAATTGTTCTTACTGTAGTCTACTACAGAGGTTCTTCTGTTTTACTTGTTGGCCTGTGTTAAATAGGTCAGGTTACAGAAACCCTCATCCCAGTCTGTTTACTATTCCTAAATTTTATTATTATTTTGTTTTTTAAATGATGATAGGTCACAGAGTTAAGATGAGAAGTCTGACTCACATAATGTGGCAAGCTGCTGCCCCTTAAAGAGTGGTTTTCCAACTGTGGTCTACAAAACCCTCATGATTCATGAATGAATTTTAAGGGCTTCATAAAAAGGTAACCAAAAAAAAGGCAAACCTATTATCAGATGACTTGAATTCATAAGGGGGCTTTAGGCATTTGCAGATCAAAAACCCTGAAAACCACAACTCTAAAGTTTCAGCTAAAGAAGTTACT